TGCCTGGGAACTATAAAATTTTAGCCACATTCAATGTTGTCGACTTAACACCATACTTCAAAGGGCTTGGAGCTTCGACAAAAGAGATCAATGTTTCCCCAACACTAGTAGACTGGCGCAGGCAATAGAAGCAGCGCCCGAATGCGAGCGTTGAAAGCGCGAACCAGCGGGGCCAGAAACCTCGCGAAACTTCATGCCTGCGGGAACCACGCAAAGGACCGCGATAGTAGGAGATCCAGCTCGTAAGTTGGGGGGATCGCAAACTTTCGCGATCCCGGAAGGCGCCTCACGTGTCTTCGTTTAGGAAGGGATTCTTCTTGCCCTCCCACCCTCTTCCTTTGTGTATAAGTTTCCTTTGTCCAACCGGAGCCTACAAAATTAATATACTCAGTGTATGGGCAACCAATTCTAGCGGAGTTGTCTTCTGATCTCCTACGTGAAGTCTCTTTCCTCTTATTAGAGTTGTATCCGAAGACAAGTGGTGCTTCAGTTGTATCATGCTCCGATGTGGTGTTGTAAACCTCCAATCTCCTTCGCTTCTTCTACCAAACACATTTTCCTACCTCTCCCCTAGTTGTCAACCACCCCTATATTCTTTCACCACTCTACCGTCAACCTCGCCATTCAACCTACCTACAACCAAACAAACACAATCCCTACTTACCCAAATAGCCACTCACCCTGCCGTCGTCGCCGCCACTGCTTTCGAATATCTTCCTATATCCCCTAACCAGAGATTCGTCTATTATTGTATTTGTCTTTTATTTGAGTCGTGTTGTAACACTATTTTTATATTAAGAAAAGTTTATTTTTGTGTTCAACCACATCCCAACTAGCTCTGATATCACTTCTTAAATAGAAAATTTTAAAATAAAATTAAAAAAAAAAAGGAATGAACAAAATACTAAATTTCAAGACTAAAAAAAAGGAATGAACAAAATACTAAATTTCAAGAAATCAAAAAAGGCTAAAAATATTAAAAAAGGAAACTTATTTGAAAATTTAAAATTCCAACCACACACTAAAAGAAAAGTCTACTACTCTCAAAAGCTTTAAAGTATTAAATTAAATGAAACCATCTAGCATTCTATTTATAGAAGGAAAAGAGATCCCATGTGAAGCCCGCTTTGATTAAAAAAATCACAAGCAAACAAAGTTTGTCGCATAATTAAAAGCCAAAGCTTTAATCAAAAAGCAAATAAATTTTGCCACCGAATTAAATGTTAAAGCTTTAATGCACATGCAAAAGAAATCCACCACTAGATTCGTAACACAAATACAAATGGACATAAAGTAATAATTGTAAGTTTAAAATGAAACAACTCATGCATGTGCTCCGACCAATTTGCTAAATGTTCGATCACATGGTTCGAGAATATTGCACAATCTCGCATAAAATAAGCTTAAACACTCGCACATGCTCTGACCATTGAGCTAAATGCTCAACTGCGTGGTCCAAGAATATCGTGCAAGCTAATAATACACATAAACTAAGCTTCAAAATTATCTTGAAAAGCATGCACGTTTTTTAAAACTTTGAAAAATGTCATTTTTTAAATATAAAATTGAAAACTATTAAATAAAACATAACTTTAAGAGGGTTGCCTTACCTATAAGGCCAAGTCGTAAGTTCCACACCTAAGTTCGATCCTCCTCATTATAGGGACTGGAATTGACAAAGACAGGGCCCTCGCTGAGCTAGTTCAATCATCCTAATGAGAACTAGACTAATGCTCTTATTGACATTCAAGTAACAATTTTACTTCGATAATGGTCATGTTAAAAGTGAATCTTAACCGAAGAGGCTCATCTTAAAATTAAAGAAAGTGCAAATGAAAAAAACTTTACAATGTTAAAATGATAATTAATCGCTAAAAAGTTAAAAGCATAAATCGTTCGCTTTTTGCAATCTTTTGTTGAGGGTAACAAATTTTAGATTAACTAAGCTCGTAAAGAGCAAATGTTATATGAATTATATTACTAAATTCAAACTCAAAACAATCTAATGCCAGTAAAAATGTGACCCAAATCATCTGTCCGCGTGGTTTGACCAGTATGCTCTAAAAAAAAAAAAGGTTACAATCAAAATCCTCTAACATAGTGCTTTGACAAATAAGCTCCATCAAATGGTTTAAAAAGTAGACTCAACTGCAAAATGATCACGATTGCAGCTTGTATGTTTCCAAATGGTATTTTGCCCCTTTGAGTTATGAATGATGGGGTATATTTGATAGGGCAAAAAACCTCTATAAGTTAAGGTCGACTTAGTTTAGTCTTCATCAACAAACAAACACTCATATCTATAACATTCGTTTGGATGAAACAACCCATGAATGTCAACAAGAATCATTTTGTCAGGTTTAATCGACTGCCTCTTCTGGCTAGGTAGACTGGGACTCTAACAACCTGAGATGCCAAATTATGGAATTTTGATCGGGTTCATCATTATTTCCCCTATCGTCCACTTTTAAGGTCACATTGATAATTTTGTAATTTTAAATCTTATATTTTGTGTTATTATAAGCTAAGTTTGAATACCTAGCGCCTAATGATTAGACTTACTAAAAGTGATTTCCCGTTATCAAAAGAAAGAATTAATCATAGGTATGGGAAACCTCAAACCCCATTTATTAAAGTCCTCACGAAATGAAGATGAAATCTATGAGTAATGCCTTATCTACTATCTCATATGCCTTCTGAAGAATTGGCCCAAAACCTCGTAGTAAGCTCTTGTCTCATCATTTTTCCTTTCTTCTCAAGGGAAGACCGGGCTTCAAATTTTCGGAACCAACAGTAATATGTTTTTATTAAATTTCCATATGAGGTTATAAAACATAGGTTTTAACTATATAAAAATTGGGAAATTTGCATAGCTAGCACACAATTCTTATTAATTTACATATCTCACACATAAACTTTCATATTTACGTACACAACAATTAGGTGCTTCAAACCTATCATTTCACTTTTAAAAATTGATAATAATGCAATTTTTATGTAATAAAAAAAATTTGAGTGCTATGTATGTAAATATGAAAGTTTAGGTGCGAGATATGTAAATACACTAGAATTGTGTGCTATGTATGTAAATGCCCCTAAAAATTTGATACTGAATTGATTAGAGGCTACTGTAAGGAGGGTTAAAACAGTGATTGTAATTAATCTAGTGAGATTGAAAGAAGAATAACGAAAAGACTGGGGCATGCATGAACTTTTGTCAAAATATTTGGAGACATATTGGTACTAAATCAAATTGACGATTTAATGATAAGAAGTCCTTACAAAAAAAATTAGCAATTAGAAATGAGAAGAATAAAGTTTAAATTCTATTATAATATGAGAATAATAACAAATATAATAATAAGAGAAGTCTTGCTGACTTAGCTAGTAATTTTTCCTCGGAAAGAAATATGCTTTTTGAATATAAGAATAATGAAGTATATCTATAAATTTGAATGTGATGCACACATGTATCTTACGGAAAATAATTCATAAATTAAAGATGAACTTATAGTAAGATTCAGGCTGATTTGGAGGCACAATTATCCAAACGAAAATGAAGTATAAAAATAAAAAACACACCTCACTTGGCTCATGTACAAGACCATTTAGCAATAGACAGCACTGAAGCTTAGATAATCCAAGCTTGTAAACAAAATGGGTGGTCCCTTCGGCCTCCTCCTTATATTTAGGTTCTTTTTCAATTTTTAGAAGCAAATCTTGGGGAGGAGATTTGGTCTTGGCTCTGAAAAATCATAATAGAATAAAAAAGTGAACAACAGGGTTGCCAATCAAAATGCAATCAAGTAAGGATTTATCTAAGAATAAAAAAAAAATAAAGAGATCTTCACACATACAACACCGTTTCTATAAATGCTTCCTCAACCTGATGAACCTGAACGGCCTCCTCATCAAGAACATCGGTCGCGTCTTTTATTTTGCATACCTAGAAAAAATGGCAGTACAACCTACTTCACTTTCTAAATTGAAAAAGCTGGTAAAACTACATGGTTTAAGTGTAACAAAGTTCTGAAAATATTTTGAAGCACAAACTTTCAAAGTAAAGATAAATACTTTCTCAGTGAGCATTGATTTGAGAAAAAAATAAAGTGCAGCAAAAAGCTACAAGTGCTCGAGCTATAGAGATTTTTCTAAGGTATAGCTACCATTTTTTATCTTTTAAAAGTAAAATGTGTGCATAGTTTCCTTTCATCTTTGTTCGATTTAAGTGCATCTTTTCTGTAATTTCACTTTTATGAAGGCATGTTTTAGAATTTCCTCCCCTCCTCCAAAAGATGTTTATAGAAATTTACTAAAATTCTTCTCTGCTACATTGATTTCAATATTAAATTAAATATTTGTTTCTCATAAATTAAAAAGCCAACATTGTGAGTAGATTTGTCAAATTTTCCCGCAGTTATAGAATTATTTTATTCTTTTTTCCCCATACACACACAAAACTCTATGTTTCTTTGATGTTTTCAATACATTTTGAGAATTCAGTTTTTTGTTATTGGCTTTTGTGTATATAAATATAATTTATAAAATTTTCAATAGTTATTCATTACTTACTTCAGTTGAGTTAATTATATTACCTTAATATCTAAAATTTAATAAATAATTTTTATTTTCATTTGATAAACTTTTGCATATATCAAGCATATTATAAAGTTTGGTGCAAGGAAAGTTACAGAAGGGTCCTGTTAACTTACAAAGTAACAATAGTCATCTATTTCATATAAAAACATAAAAAACAACTTTAAGCACTTCATATAAAACACACCGTACTGCTGAAATTTTATTCTCAAATGGCAAGTTAGCTTCCAATTTACATGCGTAAAAAAACCTATTTACAATGTTTGTTATTGCAAATCATACATAACACTCATGTAGACGTTTATCAACAACCTAAGATACATGAAAAATAAATGTTAAATAACATTGAAATAAGATGGTAAGCAAAGCAAGATACCCTTTAGCTTAGAGTTGCATATCAAACTAAAACAACCTTTTTAAAGAAACATGAGGATAAAAGAAGAAAGACTTCACTATAACATGACATAAACTCTTGGAAACATGACAGCAAAAGGTTTCACAACTGGAGACTTGGCTTCACGGAGTAATTTGCAGGTATTTTGGATTCTTGCATGAAACCAAAAAAAAAAAAAAATGAAAAAATTACATTATCAGATTAATGACATGTAGAGAGCCAGAGTGCTGAGATTAACTAAGCTTTACATTGTAAAGATATTGAAAAGCCGTCTGACTGCCAAAGCTCTCCTTGATATAAAGAAAAAGTCTTATTATCTGCATAATAAGAAAATTGAATAATAAGAGAAGACAAAATAAAAAGAAAAAAAACAAATCAAGATACATTAAGAAAAAAGAAATCAAACAGAATTATTAATGTAAGTTTCTGTTAATATTGCCAAAATATGACTTAAATTTCAGTACATGTTGTGGTGAAGGACACCCAAAAGAAAAAAAAATTAATCTGAAAATAACAGAGTTTTTGCTGCCAACAGTTCAATCTGCAAAAAAGGGCAACAAAAAATGAAACAATTTAATAAATCTCAGCAAAGCAAACAGCACAATAGAAAAATCACTCTAAAGAATCAATATTAATGAGCAAAAGAAAAAAATAGATGTCAGGTGCAACTAAATCGTGGCATCATGCTAGCAGACACCAAAAGTACTGAATATGAGCATAGAGCAGTCCAATGCTAGCTTAAGAGCATGGAAAGCTAGAAATTTTGTAGTACTTAATGAAACATAATATCATGATTGGCTTGTTAAAAAACTAGTATGCTTTTGCACACACAGCTAAAATAATTTATTTGATTCTTCAGACCACCAGACAGCAGGATTCAAAAAGATGCTCCTTAACATGTTTAAGGTCTTCAAGGACTAACAAAATAGCATAAGCTTTTGATTCTAAATACTAACATCTTTCCAAAAGTTGTCCCATTCTACCAACAAGAAATATATCAGCCAAAAATAAGTTTTGGCATGTTTACATGAATAGCACACAATCCTTATGAATTTACATATCTCACACCTAAACTTCTATATTTACGCACATAACACTCAAATTTTAATATCACATCAAAAATAACACTTATACCACTTCTAAAAAGTGAAATACACCGTTTTATGCATATGTTTAAACCATCAGAATTCCATGTATATAAATATGAAAGTTTAGGTCCGAGATATGTAAATACACAAGCAATGTGTGCTATGAATGTAAATTTACCATAAGTTTAAGAACATTACTAGGGCTTCTAGCATCGAGATAATTAGTTATTTATCTTGTACTCTAAAACTATGACACTATGTTATTATTATGACAACCATATGTTATGCCAAATACTATAATCACCTTCGTGATGTTACAATATTCAAAAGTTATAGTTATGCCTGTAACTTCCGATGTTATGAAAACTGTTTTGATTAATCCATTCTTAATCATGATAACAGAGCCATGTTCAATGTTCGGCAAGCATATTGCTTTTCCTATTATGTTTATTATTATCTATAATAGTAAAGTACTTAAGGCCCGTTTGTTTTAGATTTTAGAACAGGCTTTTTTATTAAAACTACATTTCTCACTATTTGGGGGGCTCCATTTCTTCGTCCTGATTACAAACCGCGTCAGCATTTTAATGTTTTCGCGACCGTGGGCGCTGGACTGCGTATCACGGTTTGCAAATAAACAGCGAGGGGTTTTTTTCCTTCACTGCCCCTGTTTTCTTTCGTCGCCCTAGCCATACGTTTGCCTCGGACGGATGCTTCACCCCTTGCTCTTATTTTCCTAGGTATGTGTCTTCTATCTTGCCTCCTCGCATTTCTCTCACATGACATGTCACGATTAGGGCAGTGAATTTAGCTCGAAGAACGTTAATGGTTCAAAATTTGATTTTAATTTTGATTCTTATCAAGATCAGATCAAAATAAATGAGTCTAGCTACGAGCCAAAATTTTGGATCGAATTTTTTTCGAGCCAACCTTGACTCGAAATCGGAACGTTAGTAATCTTAGTAATGTTAGGGTTGTGAATTTAGCGAATTTAGCTTGAAGATCATTAATCGCTAAAGAATTAATTCGAATTTTGGCCCAGATCGAGATCAAATAGAAATAAACTAGTCGAGCTACTGTTGACCTCATTTTTGTGAGGTCTTCCCTTCTCCTCCTTAGAGCCTAGGATCTAGTTCTAGGAGTTCTTATTGATCGTCTTAGAAAATTAAAATTGATACTCACACTTTTAGAAAATTCTAGCCAATTCTTATTTTCCTTTGATGTCTAATATTTTTGGCACAAAATCATCGTCTTATGAACGAGCGGCTATGGGCTATTTTGCAAAGACTCAAGGGAAAAGTTCATAATAGGACTTCAAGCCTTAGAAAAACATCGTCACGACTTTTTCGTTACATACACACACCAAATGCACAAAATTCACAAAATTGCACGAAATCGGACTTCAATTAAGCCTAAAAGACGGGTGAAAATGCGAATTTCTCCGAATGACCTCTGACGACAAAATAGACTGCGCCAACGCGTCCAGGAAACCAATTTTGGTAGAAAACGACACTCATATTGCTATATTTTAGACACATGAAATTGACACGCAAATCGATGAATTCATCAAAATGACTTTCGGTGGCGAAACGGATCGCTTCAATGCGTCCGGAGCGTCAAAATTACCTAAAAGGAACATCTATTTTGTTGTATTGTGACGCACGGACAAAATGGTACTAATCAAATTTTATTTTAAGAAATATCAAATATTTTATATATTTATCATTTATAATATCAGGGTTTATAACCCTAAGTCATTTTTGACCTTTACCCATGTACGACATTCCTCTGCCTCGACCGGGAGCAGCTCGGGCGGAGCACTAGCTTCCGCACGCGTCTCCTCTCCCGCGATCGGCCGCACTCGAGCCTGACGATCTAACCCCTGGCCGCTGAAACCGTCTTCCTCTCCTCGCGGCATTCCACTGCCGATTGAGCACGCGGCTCGTCTCCTCGAGTTTCTCTTAACCGAGCGGCCCTCCAACTATGAAGTTCCACCTGGCCGAAGCTTCTCTTCCTCGAGGCTGAACGCTCTCCTCTTTATGGTGTCGTCTCATTTTCTCTTTGT